GGGTGCCCACCTCACCGTCACTCCACCAGGCAAAACACAGCGTCCCCGTCACCAGCAGCACAGCCCCAGTGATGGTCACGCCGTAGCGGAAAGAGGCGGCTGCCATCCTTCAGAAGGAGGTCTTAGGAGGGGAGAAGAGCGAGACAAGGCATGAGAGAGCCCACGTCCTGCAAAACAAGAAAAGGACCAGGTTTGAGAGGGATGAGGTCATGGAAGAAGACATACCAGAGGAGAAAACTACTGAGTTAAGACTTCTCTGGGGGCTGCACACTCTTCAGCTACCTGTTATTGACCATCAGAAGGGGCATTTCATAGAACCATAGAATCATAGAAAGATTTGGGTTGGAAGGGACCTTAAAGATCATCTAGTTCAAACTCCCCTGCCATGGGTAGGGACACCCTCCACTACACCAGGTTGCCCAAAGCCTCATCCAACCCGGCCTTGAACACTTCCAGGGATGGGGGATGCACAACTTCTCTGGGCAACCTGTTCCAGTGCCTCACCACCCTCAATGCAATAAATTTCTTCCTTAGATCTAATCGAAATCTATCCATCATCTCAGGTGGGAAGTCCTTGTGCAGAGCAAAGTCAGCCGCCTGTTTCGACCCATAAACGTCCCAACACCCTCGTAAAAACATTCTCATCTTCAAGAAATGACCCAGCACTTGCTCCCATGGAGGCAGGACGAGAGCCCCAGCCAGGGGAGCTACAGAGGCGGCTCCGGGGACTTGCATAGCTCTTGTCTTTGGGTTTTATCCCAGACTTCCTCCCAAGCTCGGAGGAATGCCAGCTGGGTTTCTGATCAAAGCAAGGCCAATGGAAGAGGTTAGGGAGAGGGACATAGATTTAAGATGTCATCGTTTCCGAATTACCAGTGCACACATTTCCTCCTCTGAATCCAGAGGTAAATCAGTTCTGCGGTGACAGGAGGTGCCTGGCACCGCCGCTGGAAAGCCTGCAGCCCAGGGGACATGGGGCTGCGCTGCCTCTTGCTTTCTCAGGGAAAAGGGCCAAGTACCATCTCTGAAAGTCACAGAGCTGTTATTTCAGGGAAAATCAGCCCTTAGATGCTGGAAACCCAGGATACCTCATCTGGGGATGATGGCTCCCGAGACAGCGAGCAAGCGGGGACCCTAAAGAGCTCTCCTGTGACTGACAGAGCCCATGATAGCTGCACTTCCCACTGCGACCAAGCTCGGAGCAAGGATGGCAATGGGAATCACTCCGTATCTCCGTTAAAAGTCAGGAATGTGCTGGATAGAAGCTAAACCCTCAGAAAGGGTATGACCTATCGCTGAAGTAGGTGTTTATACTATGATGGTCGGGGGGATTGAGGCAACAGATCACAGAGGTCTATGAGGCTCTTGCTGGCCCGGCTATGATGTCCTATTTCCAGATACACCAGAAGCACAGAAGGGCTTCAGTTTATTTTGAAGTTAAGGTAGACACCCTGACGCTGGACAAGTCTGCTCAATCTTCATCCAAACGAGCTTTTGCACATCAAATCTTGCTCCCCTGGGTCAGCTCCAGCACACACCTTCTCAGCTCCCCAGCACAACCGATCCCACAGGTGTTATCACCACCTTCACTGTCCCTATCAGGGTGGGTTTGGGGTTGGTTTGACAACCAAAGAGATGAGGCCATGCCACACTTTCCTTCTGGGTGGCACTCTCAGCTCAATGTCACACACTGAGAGCAATCATCCTTCCCTGGCACAGAAAAATCTGGGGAAGGGGAGCTGGTTTCTGATCTCCATGGGGCTCTCCCTGTTGTTTTCTCCAGCAAACAACAAGCATCTGCTCCCTGGGCTTGGAGATCCCCAACTAACCAAACAGCATCAGCAACCGGGCAGGCAGAGGAGGTCTCCTCTGGTCTTGCTTACTGTCTAACAAGAAGATGCAGGTTCAGCTCCCACTTCTTGGCGGACAAAAAGCTTCAGACTATGTGGGAATTAAGCATCAACACCCCCTTACAGATTCAGTCTTGGATGACTTCTGTGTCAGGGCTTCTCGTGGAGCCAGTGTCAATGGCAAGTCTGCACGTTGGGGGCTGTCCAGGATGGAGATGGGGCTCAAGCGCAGAGGTGGATGGAGAGGTGGGTGATCCATGCTCAGCCCCCGCCTCTGCCTTCATTGCTTTCCCTGTATGTCTGTTAAATGAAGATAATCTGGTGGCTTTGGTCTCCATTCCCCCAGGCAGGTCTCTCCTCCTGCAGCAAGGACTCAGACTGTACCCTGAGATCTGGAAACGCCAAGGTAGAGCTAAGGAGGGAGCAGACGTCCAGCACACTTGGTGTGATCAAGGGCGGGTGAAATTACATTATTTCAAGCCATTATTTATCAGATGGGCCCACTAAATGGAAAGCCAAATTACTCCGTAGTGAAAGAAACATCATCTGATCTAATCTATGTTTAATGAAGAAATCTGATGAGAAGTGGGATTTAGGAAACCTGTGGGAAGGCTGCAGGACCACAAGCCCCAACAACACGCTCTGGCTCTCATCCCACCGTCACAAGCCCGAACTGCCGCCCAGGTTGGTGGTGGCCGGTGATCCCCACCAGCAGCCGCAGTCACCCACTGAGAAGGAGGTGGTGTTTCTGGCAGAGCTTCCTCCCATAACGAGGGGACATGTTTAGATGTTCCCTCTTGAATGGCAGGGGCTTGGCTGAGCTGAGACAGAGAAGGGGCTGTTAGAGATCAGGTAGAGACACCAGTAGATGGTATTTGGGATGGGCGTCCTCCAACTCACCACCAAACATGAGCAGGACACAACAGATGAGTTGGGCAGTTGCTCTTCTGAGCATCTGCCTTGCAGCAGCAGATGCTCAGAAGAGCACAAGGACCCTACTGACCCATGAATCCAGCTCCTTTTGAGAGCATCGCATTTTCCTGGAAATTTTTCAGCCAATGTTATTTGAAAAAAAACAAAACAAACCCATCACCACAACCCAAATACCCTACAGTAAAACTCTCGATCCAACTGCACGGAAATTACAGGTCACTCCGCACTGAAAGCCTGGATTGAAACAGCACCGAGAGTTGAAATGTTCACCTCCTGCAGTCGGCACTGTCCTCATTTTGGGGTCAGCCTGGTGAGGTTTGGGAGACGCCGTGATTCCCCTGGTGCAGTTTGGGAGAGGCTGCAATTCCCCTGCCCAGGCACAGGGAATTTTGCAGCCCCCGGCACTGCGCACATCTGGGAGCGCTGGCAGCGAGGGGGAGGCGGACGTGGAGGGAAGGCGGGGAGCTTCTGGGAGGTGACGGATTGACAGCTCGAGAGAATAAACTCTTCTCTCTTGACACAACCAGCGCAGCGCGGGGAGCAACGCTGAAAGCTCCTCCAGCCTACCCGGCACGTGCTCCCGCGGTGCGGGGGCAGCTCCTCTGCGCTGGGTGACATCGCCATCGCACCGTCCCCTTGCCAAGCCTCTTCTCGGGCTGCCACGGCTCTCCTGAGCCACTTTAAAAGACCCACAATGTTTTATTCAGCGCACCGACCACTGGAAGAAGAGGCCAAAGAAGCAAGGGTGGGAGTGGAGGTGGGAGGCCGGGGCAGGATCCGAGTCCCCACTCCTCCAGCCTGTTCCCAGCTCTGCTCCCAGGGCACTCAGCATTCTGCACATCAGGTCTCCTTCTGAGTATTCCCAGCACAGGCCTCCTCCAAAGACGGCAACACCCGTCTCCACCCGCCTGACATTTTGTTCTCCCCCATCTCCTCCTTTGCCCTGCTCCGAAATAGTCTTTCTGGGGAAACAGATTTACACGTTGCATGGACAAACAGATATGGACGTTAATAGTTTACATAGTTCCAGTAAGACGCTGAGAATAGCATCCCCCGTACAAAGTTATGCAGATGGTGATTCATAGGATCTACTAAAGCATTACTCAGAGAAACGCTCTTTTCCAGCGCCGCAAGAAACGCGAAGAGTTTTGAATCTCTCCCACCGCCATC